CTGATCAACAAGAGCGATAATTTTTCTATCTTTAACAGAAATAATATCCTCCAGATTCTGGCATCTATTCTCTAACAGGTCAATGGACTTTTCAGCTGATACAATAGCGTTTTTCGTATTAGGAATTATACTTTTGAAGAAAGCTATCGAATCTGATAATTGGGTAACTTTTCCGCTACTCTCCTCCAAAGACCTGGTCATGGCTATCTCACAAGACTTATATTGCTCTTGCAAGTCGAGAAGCTCTTCAATCTTTTTTTCCAATACCTGCTTTGATATACACAACTCCTTATTTTCTTTTCTTAACAAATTTTCACAGTCACTGGTAATAGGCTTCATCTTCTAACGCTCTTTTTGCTTAATATAATTTCCAACTGCCTTATTTAACAAATCTTCCACTTTAGGATGGATACTACTTGTCTGTTCTAGTGATAATGAATGTTTTCATAATGTAAGATGACGCTATACATCTATTTTGATGGAATGAGGAAGCTGGTTAAGTTGCTTTGAGTAATATACGTGAAAAGATGGTGTTAGTATACCAGTCATATCTTATGGATAATAAAAATATTTTGAGAATTTTATAGATTCAGAAATTTTGAGAATTTAAGAATTCAGGGAATTCAAAGAATTCTGAGAAATTTACGCGTCAATGTCGTGAGAGATCTGCTAGAAAGCTCTGATCAAATATGCATATGACACCTGATCATTGGTCAACAAGAAAAAATCATTTTAACAGGAAGCCCCGGCTGAAATTTCGCCAAATTAATACATGATCATGTCTTTCGTGATACAGATAACAAGTTTTTTATTAATTCGTTTTGCGATTGCTTGTCTTCTAATTTCGCAACTCTGGCTTTAAGCTCAACATTCTTGGCCTTAATTTTATTGTTCTCAACTTTAAGCTTGGCAATGCATTGTTTCAATGAATCAAATAAAATTATTAAATTTATAATTGACCCTATCATTACAATGTAACCCATTTCTCATGTACATTTGATAAAATAATAATACTTTATTTATGAAATAAAAACGTTGCCAAAGTAACCACATAAAAATGCAAATATATCGCTTTACATGATGCAATGAGAAGAATACATTATGTTTCAATGACTGTTAATGCTTGTTGTTTTTGATTTTCAATACTGAAAATTTTGATATCATCCACCTTAATTTCATAACTATACATCCAAAGTATAATAAAACTAACTGCACCATTGATTACTGCCGATTGTATAACCTCACCGGTTAATGAACATATACAAACAACATTGGCTGGAGGTGGAGTTGGAATTCCTTGGTTGTCTACAAAATAAACTCTTGCTACATCATTTGTCATTTTTTCAGTTTTATACGGAGGTTATTACCAAGATCCTTCGTCTGTGAACTGTTCTTTCTATATGAAAAAGTACCTTATTTTCTGTGCATTATAGAAGAATCGATAGATTGACCTGCTGTAAACATTGTGTTATTAATCCATTTGAAAATATGATTTAAATTTAACTAGTAATACGCACCTTAAAATTTTGCAGGAAAGTTGGCTAAACTTTCACATACTCCAACATGCTTTATATCCCTTTTTTTTTCTCCCGAAAAAATCAAGCGGAATCTTCATACCTTTTCACATGGAGATCTACCCTGTAAGACGCAAAGATAGTTATCTCTTGTAGATCTCAAAATTACAAAGTTCTCGGTCTCAAGCTCACTAATGCGTTATTTTAATGAATCGGTCTCACTGGAATTATCTATTTCAGATTGCATGCTTGCGTAATGTAGTATTAGTATGTTAATATTCAAAAGTAAAAAATCACATGATTTTCTCTCACGACCCGTAAGCGAAATTTGCCAAGAAATTTAGAGACTAGCGAAAAAAAAATATGAATGTATATTTATGAAATAGACTGCCAGGGTCGGGTTTATTAATATAAAATTAAAGTACAGGATAAAGAAATCTTAATTATATGGAGGTGAAGATATTGTCGAACTACTCTCATCACTTTCATGAGTTCTGGAATTAAATAGCAAAGATAAATCTACGATCAAGATTCTCTGCATATAAAAAAGGTTAGTCAATAAATATCACGAAATAAATGTATTTGTATAATATACATGAATACATACTCGTAGTAACAATAAAGCTTCTATAAACTCAAATATAGTTTTCCTGTTATCCGTATATTGTGTTGGAATACTAACTGATCTTAAAAGAAAAAGACGGCTAATATTTTCTTTATCACGAATAAGAACATATAAATCGAATTTTTGTCCCGCAACCTGGAATCCAAGAATGCCAAACTATTTTTTTCTTCCAATTTACATCCTCTATTTGTTCAATATAAGGCATCGTTAAGTTCCCGCCACAATTTCACTTTATCATCATCTTCTTTCACATCACTACAAATAATACGTGAACATTCAGCAAAAATTAACTCATAGATCCTATCCATATGCTTCGCTATGAACATAATGTCTGGGCGCTTTCCTTTCCCTCCTCTTCTGTCTTTGCTAGCCACGCTTTGA